CAGGGTCTGGCCTGCAGCCCTCGCGATTAACCAGCACGCCGAGATAACGTATCTCGGACATGCAGATCTTCGACTTTTTCCTATTGATGGTAAGGCCCGCCTCGTTAATTCTATTTAGAATTAACGTGAGCCATTTTACGTGATTAGCGAATGTATCAGTCGCAATGATCAAATCATCTAAATAGGCAAAAGCGTGAGGCTCCATTTCGGGCGTGATTATTTTGTCAGCCAACGATTGAAATGTAGCAGGGCCGCCCGCCAAGCCGTAAGGCATACGAACGAATTCGTACAAGCCCATACCTGGAACTGTGAAAGCCGTGACTGGTATCGATCTCTCTGTGAGAGGTATTTGCCAAAAGGCTCCAGAACAATCTAGAGCACTTATACATTTGGCGTACTGAATATTGCGTAAAATCACGTCCATATAAGGCAATGGATATGCTGAAACTTTCGACACCGCGTTGACTCTACGGTAATCGATGCAAAATCGATACGTACCATCAGATTTCAATATCATAACTACGGGGCTTGACCATTCGCTCTGGGACTTCCGGACTATTCCCATTTGCAACATTTTGCGTACTTGCTCGTGCATTTCGTCCTCTATTCTCTTAGATACCGAGTAATATCTTTGTTTAATTGGACTCGGGCAGTTGAGATCTATGTCATGTGCGATCCAACTCGTGCAACCTAACCGTTCGCACAAGGGATCAGGCAGCAAATCCTGCATGACTTTTTCGATCGTTTCTCTCTGCTCAGCCGTGGGATCTTCAATCCCCAGCGAGGCTAAGGTCATTGCCTCTTCAGCTTTCCCCGAAGAGAGAACTGCAGACACACCTTCTTCGCAGCCCTCAAACGTCACCCTGTTAGATCTAGGGTCTAGCATGGCCGAAAAGGCGCGCTTGAAGTCGGGACCTAAAGTGCACTCAGTGTCAACTTCATTTAAAATGAGAGAGTCAATCGAATGCGTTACCCCACCCAAGGTGAAGGGCAACTCTACGCTACCTACAATGGGTACGTAGTGGCCATCAACTGCCTTTGCTCCTGGGCCCACATACGGACGCACGTGCTTGTTTAAAGCAACTGCGATTGAAATGGCGTTAGGGCCGAGGACGGTACGAGAAGCTCCGGTGTCCCAAAGTCCTCGAAAAATATAATCGCTGACTTTAACAGTCAGCCACCACCTGGGGAACTTATCGATTAGGGCACTCGCAACGGTACCCCCATCGCGGGTAGACTGCACGTCGGAAGAGTTAGCTCGGGCTAGCATTGAGTCACTCACCGTGTTGTGCGGCACCTGCGCTACTCCCATTACGCCGCTAACAGCAAAGGTCCTGGTGATCAAGGGAGGAGTAAGGACCTCATCAACTGACTCCCTCTCTCTTTTTTTGAAACCTCATCATTCGGCTGTTTAGTCGAGCATTCTGGGCAAGTGGCTCGGGTGTGACCGGGCCAACTGCAATTCCAGCAGAGAAGATTGCCATCAGGGCCAGACTCCCTATCCTTGTTTTTACTGGATTTAGGGGAAATTACTGTGGTTCGATTGCCACCTGATCGTCTCCAGCTTTTTCTACCACCTCGGCCACGTCCGTTGCCGCGAGGCGAGTTCCCGCTCGAACGGTGAAAAGTTTCGTTTGGGGCTGCTTTTCCGTTAGAACTTTCGTTCTTCTCGGATGAAGCAGGGAGCTTGGAGATGTCAGCATTTCCTTTGGCTTTCTTCTCCAGGATCTTCGTAATCATATCCTCTAGCTCTGACTCCTTCACTGGCTGAGTTTTCTCACTTAGAGAGGATAACGATGGCTTAGCCTTGGTCGTTTTGACCCGCGGCTTGTAGGCCGTTTCAGGGTATAGACTCTGATCGGCTGAGGGCGGTGGCATCCATTGGTCATCTTCATCATCCTCGGCTTCTTGAGCTTTGGCCAGAAGTACTTGCAAATCTGTGAGATTGTCTCTAAAATGCTTCAATCTCTTTCTCAATTGAGGCAGCAGGTTGTCGATGATGAGGTTAACTTGTTCCTGCATTCTCCATGGAGGATCAACTCTTTTCGTGAGAGTAAGTAGTGAGACAATGTACTCAACTACAGGCTCATCAGTACCTTGTGTACGCAGCTGGGCTTCTACCTTCAGACTCCTCTTGTTTCTCTTCGATTTGCTGTAAGTCTTAAGGGCCGCTTCCTTAAAGTCGCTAAGCGTTTTCCACGAGGGCCTTAAGGCACGATACCAGAAGAGAGCTACCTTCTCGAAAAGGGGAGTCATTGAATCTAGTAGCTCGTCATCGGCCACCCTATCTAACCGTCTGTTTTCCTCAACGCGTTCCAGAAATTCTTCAATGCTTAGTCCTTCGCCTTCTGAAAATTTTATCTTCCATTCTCTTACAGTTTTTCCTAAGGGTTTGCTGGAAGAGTACTTAGAGGACGTGGAATTAAACGTAGTCGCTTGCTGTAGGTTAGCAGTGAAGCTTTGACTACTTATGGGAACGCTAATCATCGTTTGTTGCGATGGCATTTCTGCTGACGTACTGGGCAGGACCCCCCTCCCCCAGCTCGAGGACACGAGGGTGAATGAGTTTGCGAGGGATGCCACGGGGTCGAGCGAAGAAGCAATGCTAAAGGACGTTCCCCTCCCCCTGACCGAGCTTGCAGGAAGAGGCATCGCAGGTAAAAACGACGTAGTAATCGGAAATGACGACGGCATTGGCCTTATAGAAAAAACCGTAGAGGGTTGAGTTGTCGAATGAAACAACGAAGCTTGCGGGTTGAGCGATGATTGTATCTGTGAATGTGTAGTGTTGTCAAATTGGCTTGATAAATCATAATAATTTAATTCGAATGTATCTCGGAATTGTACATTCTTACTTTGCGCAGTAGCCAGTCGTTCCTGCTCTGCGAGATGAGCCGTTGACACAACTATTTTTAGTTGTTCCTGCAAACTTTTATTAACTGCATTTAAATCGATCTTTTCCCTTTCAGCTTTGGCTAATCTCTCTCGCAATTGTGTAACTTCTGCTATTATTTTATCCTTTTCTCGTTTTTCTGCTGCTACATGTCTGAGGAATTCTTTCTGTGCGGCAGAATAATCCAATTCTGCTTGCCAAGCTCGTCTTAGTTTGGATGCTGCGCCATAAGGCATAAAATGCACTTTAGTGTCTGGCATCGTTACTTTGACCATGCGCGTTTCTTCTGAAGTAGCGTAGATTCCTGTGGAGTATCTACTCGCATTCGCTGCATTTATTGACGTTGTAATGGTTGTTGTTGTTGCTGTTGACATTATATGTTGTCCTATATTTGGCTGTGGTTCGATTGTTGTGCTGTTGAAATCAAGTCTTCGACGTCTTGTATTCACCAGTTCATATGTACCTTCATTGTCATTATCTTTGTGTTCTTCTTGTATAGGCAGAGTTACAGAATTATCTATGGCTGTGCCATGTGGCGAGCTTGTTGTCAATTGTTCGTTGTCATCTAAGTTCACCTGTTCTGTTGCGTCGAGAGCTTCTTCTGCATCCCTTGCGGTTTGTAAATCTCTCTTAATTTCTGCTGGCAGAGTGTCTGACATGAAGAACATACGGCTAAGATTGTCTCGTCTTTCTTGTGCTTCTTCTTCATTTAAGTCTTGCGTTGCTATGAAATCTTCCGTTGTATAATCGCCGTTTAAATCATTTTACTAGAATGGTGTGATACAACTTACCCAAAAAAAAATAGTGTAGTGAAAGAAAGCAAAATGATGTACTGTTTATAATTTAGAAAAATACCAGGTGATAATGCATGTTTGTAGGTACATATATAAAGTTTCAATTTTTCAAATTTTCCGTTAAAAAAAACATTATAAATAAATTTAACTATGCTTTATTTTAACAAAATCATGTACATTATACAAAATCAACATAAAAAATTAACTTAGAAAATCAACATAAAAAATTAACATAAAAAATCAACAAATAAAATCAACGTACAAAATCAACATACACATTCAGCTTACAAATTACATTGGTTTGTATATATTTAGTATTAAATCGGCGACTTCTTGCATATTGCTTATATGCGCGCTCGTCGAATCCCACGTTCGCTCTAAGAATGTTCGAAGCTTCAGAGCCGCATCGTAAGCCTCTCCAACGGAAACTTCTTTCTCTGGTTCTATATTTTCGACTTCTGCGATCGGCTCCTCGTCTTCTTCAACGAACTCCTCCGGATTATTAGACGTGATTCTGAAATAATAGATAAAAAAAATATATTAATACAATGTTTTTTGAGTACATATTTGTTTCTATGAACACATGTAAATTACATATAAATAATTACATAAAACTTTTACAATACCTTTCAAAAATTTCTTGGATGTTCAAATTTTGCCAGCCATTATCCGTGTAATCTTCCTCGATCCATGCTTGGGCCATCTAGAATGTGCAGTCGGCGAAGGCTGGGCTATCCTTAAGAAGCTGTAACAACAAGTTAACTTCTTCAGCCGATGCTCTTTTTTCGTAGGGAGAATCGTCCTTGCTCAAAATTCTGTTCCATGCGTTGCGGAGATCTCTGGCGTTGATAACATCCCACGAACTAGAAATTCGGTAGCAGCAGTCCTTCACCGTCTGCTTCTTTGCCAAATCGATGACGCTTGCTCCCGATGTTGCCTCTTCTAGGACTAGCGCTTTGACTAAATTTTTCCGGAACATTTTTTTCATTTTTTCAATGACGCCCCGATCCATTGGCTGAATCAAAGCGGTGACGTTCGGCGGCAGGAACATCACTTCAACGTTCTCGGCGATGCAATTCAATTCAGCTGCTGCGGGATGCGACGGTGCATTGTCCAACAGGAGAAGAATTTGCTGATGCGGCGGATGATGCGCTCGGACCTCCTTGACGAAAATATTCTCGAACCAGTCCAAGAATATGTTCCGATCCATCCAAGCTGAACGGCTGTTCATGTATTTGACGGGCAGCTTCTCTCTCTCATACTTCGAAAAACATCTGGGATTTTTCGACTTGCCGATGAGTAGAGGAGTGATTTTATACGATCCGGACCCATTGGCGCAGCATATCAGTCACTCGTTCTTTCTGCTCCTTCAATCCCGACGGTTGCCGCTCGTATCCCGCCGCTAGAGTTTTCTTCGGCAAGGACTTGAATAATAAGCCCGTCTCATCGGCGTTGTAGACCTCATCCTCGGTGTATCCTTTCTCTTTCAAGTAAGAATGCAGCGTCTTCTTGAAATTCTCTGCTGCTACGTTGTCGGATGACAACTTATCTCCTTGCATAGATAACTGCCAAATCTGGTAGCGCTTCTTGAATTTCTCTAGCCATCCATTGCTGGCCTTGAAATCGGCCGCTTCCCCAACGAACTTGTTGAGCTCCAAGGCCTTAGCTTTCAGAACATCGCCCGAGATTGGAGTCCCCGATTGCTGCTTGAACCACTCGTACAGCGTCATGTCGCGAGGATTCTCTTCGACGTGGATCCTCTTGCATTCCTTATTCTGCTGGCTGTCATCCAATTCCAGGGCGCGTTTCATAATTTCTGGCTTCTGCGACTTCACTCTTCTGATCGTCGTCGGGTCAACGCCGTAGAGCTGGGCCAAACTCTGCGTTGTTTTGCCGGCATCCAGAGCTGCGACGATAGCGGCTTTTTGCTGCACTGTCAAGTTGACCTGCCGTTTTCTGGTCCCCGGAGATTGTTCCTCCAAAGACAAGTCCAAGCCCTGGCTCAATCTCTTGATAGTGTGCGGAGAAACGCTGTATTCCTTGGCAAGATGAGCCATCTTGACATTGTTGGACAGCTTCTGCTTGATTTCAGCTACTTGACACAGGTTCAAACTCTTGGCTGCCATGATCTGAAAAATTATTGTACAAATTCAAATGAATAAAACAAATATATAAAAGATTGACGCAAATATTAATAAGAATCGAAAAATATAATAGAAGAAGCTAACTGACAATTGATTGGCAGCGTTTTTTTTCTTATTTAAAAAAATTGTTTTCTTATTTTATTTTATAGACAAAATATAAAAGATATAGTGTAACAATAGACTTGTAAACTTACCAGTTGATCTTGAAAACTTCTTGAAAACCAGTTGATTTTAAAAACACAATCAAAACGTACAGAAACTATACACTCGATTGAACAAAATTGTTTTGGACTCTGAGAGATACGTAAACTGGAGAAAAGGACGAGGGTGTTGCATCGAAAGTCGAATACAGACTGAAGTCAAAGCGCGTCTTTAGGTACATATCCCCCCCACAAATTACAAGAGTCATAAATTACAAGGAGTGTAACTCATAAGTCACAAATTACAAGGAGTCATCTTGTACTTCGAGATACATATGCAAGATATAAGAGCGACGCGTCGGCGCCAGACTCATAAAAGTGCGCCGCCGGCAGGTGCCAGGTAAGCGACCGAGAGCGTACGATACTGCGCTCGAGTCATAAATCGGGTAGTGAGAGAGGCTAGGTAACGGGCAGTGGCAGAGGTCGGGCAGTTGCGGAGGGTGCAGTAGCAGAGGTTCGACTGTATTTTTATTTTGTTTTCTTAATTGTAAGTACTCTCAACTCTCACTTTCAACGTATGAATAAAATTAAAAAATTTAATAACATCAATTCATTTGGTTCAGTTTTGATACTTATTTTCCATATGTTAAATTAAATTTTATAATTGAAAGACCTTACTCTTTTGTACACAAACGTTTTATCACACTATAATATTCTACATTACTAATAAACCAACGAATGTTATTTCCTTCATTGTTATTCCATTATTATTATAATTATTCAAAATTTAATATTTGACCACTCGCGTTTAAAAAAGTTAAAATAATATTATAATAATAATTAAATTATTCACTTCCTTCTAATAGTTTTAGTGTGGTGAAGGCCATCGTGTACTGAAAATTAGAAAATTTATTTAAAACTTCCGCATTATCTACTCATTAGATACTAATTTTTATTAATAAGAGTAGTTTTACCCTCCCCAATTAATCAAAAATTGATGGATTCTATTTTCTTTCAAAACAAAAACATCTGCTCAAAACTAAACTATTTTTCCACTGCGAAAATTCATGTGAATTTTTCAATTTTTCATCTATCAAAAATGGGGGTTACAATTCCCAAAAGTCATTGTCACCAGAATTTGTTATACTTTCGATAAGGAATATTATCTATTTGGTTTTACTAAAAAATATTGATTAAGAAAAAAAGCTATTTAAAAAACCTGTTTTTGGGAGTGAAATTTGAGGGTAGATTCCACCCTTTAAATGTGGTTTTAGAATATTTTTATTGGAATAATATCTGTAAAGCAGTAAAAATTAAAAAATTCGCTTTTAAATATTTTTAATATCGAAAGTTCTAATTTTCATTAATAGGCTTTACCCTCTGAAAATATTTTTTACTAAAAATGCTGGAAAACATAAAATTGTTTTTTCTATTTTCTTTATAAATAGAAATATTTGGTTATAATTACACTATTTTAAATGTTTTTACTGCAGAAAATGATGTGTGACGGCGGGCCATATATGATTAAAATTTTTGAATTTCACAAGAATAATTTTTCTAAGATCAACGGCAGAGTTGAAACCGCTTCCAATGAGCTGTGGGAACCGAGCCGAGTGTCGCAGGAAAATTCTTCTTGATAGTCTCCAAGCAATAGAATCTATAGTCTAAATTTATAGAAGTGTGCATTCATTTTTTTCAATACGCTATTCTGCCCTTCGTACCTTCACACTTACATATGAAGTGTATGCAGCCTCCGAACACGTGAGCGCTGAGATGCCGATGAGAGAAGAGGGCCATAAAACTGCAATCTGTTTCCCGTTCTAATTTTTCCCACCAAATTCTTCTCTTTTAAGAAAACAAAAAACATTTTTTACCATTCAAAGAGAATGAAATAGAAATATTGAAATTATAAAAATTAACCTTTCACCTTCTATTATAAATAATTATTTATGTCTCTCCTCATTCTTTTATCGACTCACCATTTTCAAACATCAAAACATACAATTTAAGTTAAATAATAGGATCATAAGCAACAATAGTCTATAGTAACTAATAACGTAACACTAAGTTCAGACAAATTCACACATATTATAAATTCGTTTATAATAATTAATCATAGAATTTTTACATTTTTAGTATTATTTCAACTTGTAATCGACTCCCTAGTATTAAGTGATAATGTAAAATTACAATTATGTACTCTGATTAACATTCGTTTGCGTTAATTAATTAAAAATAATAAATTCACTCTTGCTCTCAAAAATGAAACTCTAAGAGCCATCTCTGGAGAAAAGGGCCCAAGTTTAGAAAAGAACCGCCCTCTCTCTTTGAAAACTCACGCCCTCCGACCAATTATGTATTCCGGTTCGACCAAGAAAATCCTTCGGCCAATACGGAAAACTTTGAGTTTGTCACTCCATGGGCCTGAAGAAGGGGATTTCCACCCAACCGCTCCCAGGTTATAAAAAGCCCTGCACAAGGCCGCGATAAGCAGTCTAGTGAAAATTAATAAAGTCAGATTATTTTAAGTAGTTCAGTAGAAATTAGTAAACTCAGATTCAAGTTCAAGTTATTAGAGAAGTCTAGTGGAAATTAATAAAGTTCAAGTTATTTGAGAAGTCCAGTGAAATTTAGTAAAGTCGCATATTCAAGTTCAAGGAGCTAAAACTACTTTAAGAAACATCGTCAGTCCGAAGGAAACTAGCTGGATTTAGAGAGAGCGAGAGCAAGATAGGGAGAGCAAGAGTGTCTTTTAAGAAAGAAATCTTCCTTACTTCGAAATAAATAAAAAAGAGTAAGTTAAAAAATTTATTTGGCTATCTTTTCCTTCTGTAATAGTCATCACTTTTCGGAGATCCATTAAGCCTGAGTCTGGTGGATTTCCATTCAAGCCCCCTTAAGAGCACATTAAGCTAGAAGTCTGGTGTGCTCATAATAACATTTGGTTATTATTATCCCCATAATTAGGAGTTTCTGGGGCAACAATATTGCTCGTCCCGGCTAAAGTGTTACGCACAAGCTAAATCAGAGCAACCTTGAGTCTACGCTTACTCCAAGCGTACCTGAGAGTGACTTCGACGTCACAGATGTCAGTTTTTCGTGTATTAAAAATAGGGGTTGCAATTCCCAAAAGTGAAACACACCAAAGTTTGTTTTACTTTTTATAAGGATTATTTTATTAGGATCTACTTTATTTTACTAAAACATATTGACTAGAAGAAAAGTTATATGAAAAAAAAGTTTTTGGAGGTGAACTTTGAGGATGGATTTCACTTCTTAAATATGTTTTTTCGCCGATAAAAAAAAAACCAATCTCTTGCATTTTTAATGCACTACAACATAACAAGAATTATCAAAATCGGTGAGTTCGGTTTGGGGTACCTTCCTTGTAAGTTCGGTTTAGATTTTATTGCCACTTGGAAACTATATAGAAAAATTTTTGCTGTGACGCTCAACCTAATCCCACCTTCTCACGGACAAAAGATTCTTATTCCGTATTTGGTTTTAATTTTAAGAAATAAAAAAGTTCTACAATTAGAGTGTTCGGCCCGCCGTCACACTACCTACCTATATACTTACCTACTGCTTCCGCTGAAAAAAAAAATAATAGGGATAAATAAAAAATGCAAGATTACAGTTTATTAATAATTATCTTTTTTTTTGTTTGTTCATACGTGTAGCACTGAAAAGTGTTTCTTTTTTATTTATCATCGACAAGATAACTTGGCTCCGAAATAAACCGATCACTGCAGTTTATTAGGTAGCCTTGAAATGGATCGATCTCTGCAGCTCCTTCGTTGCCACTGATAAAATTAACATTTAACATCTTGATAGTTGCAAAGAGAAAAAAATCACACGCATGATCATAACCATATATTAATACCAATTGGCGAATCCGCTCCACACTGTGAAGTTAATATCACCTATTCTTTAATATTTTGTTCGTACTCTCGTGGTCTGTCCCGTTAAAGAGTAAGAATTCATTTGACTTTGAAAAATATATATGAACCTTGAATTTGAAATAAAATTATATAATGAAATATCTATAATTTTTAGGATTGAACTTAAGGAAAGATAGAGTTTGCCCTGAACTGCTGGTCGTTGTAGTCGGCGGCCATAATGGGTGGAGTCTCCTCCACAGTGTGGATGTCGGAGACACGTAAACAGGATCGGACCAGTTAGACATGTTGTGCGTCGGTTGATCCGGCCCCGATCAAGGTCTCCGAGGAAAGATCTACTCAACAGTCAGCAGCCTTCGATATCGTTCAGCGCCACCACCACCACCTGTGAACCACTACACACCGTAATCGCGAGCAAAAAGCGGCTTATTTTTGTAAGCGATTGGCTGGACCATGGATCGCGGTACAAAAAAGCGAAATTTTTCGCTGACTCTGACGACGACAGCAACAGTTAATTATATAATTTTATATTGTATAAATCTTATATCTTATATATTGTATAAGTTAACTTTCTATTTTTATCAATAAAAAAATATATTAAAAAATATAAAAAAATATATTAAAAAGAATATATTAAAAATATAAATACAATTTTTTATACAGAAAAACAAACTGAAATGAAGAATATGCTGAAAAATATAAGGATTCCACCATCAAAAAATCTGGATACGGTTCAGATGAAAGTGAAACTGAGAATCATTTTCAAAAGTATAATGATAATTCTTCAAAACAAATAAGCTTGAAGTTCCGAACGTTTGAGCTGAATGAAAATTGCGAAAATAGAAATATAAATATTGTAACGATGAACGTTATATTCGTGCACTCGTCTCGTCAGGCGGACTGCCCGCGGGGGCAACACCTACCGGCCATAAAGGGAGGGGAC